TATGTAGTCACAATGAAGATCAACCTGCTGGATGTCTAAATTAATAAGCCAATAAATCCCCTGCTAACTATACTTTAGACATCTAACACAGAACCTAAGTGACTTACACAAGCTAACTTTATTTTTCTAAGCCTCACTTTCCTCATCTGTAAAATGATGAGTTTAAAATGGGTGTGTTTTAAGGCTCTACTAATTTCTTTTTGGTTAATGTTTTAAGGACAATTAGTAATTGCTTGACTATGAGCTTTCTAAAGTTCATTCCAGTTGGGCTTCCTGTCTGAATACTTCCCTATTCCCAGTGCCCTTTGCTCCTAAAAACTACTAATTACCTCTCCAGTCCATAATGATGCCATCTACACCTCTACAGGCTTTAGAGTCCTTGCAGTATTTAGTTGTGGCCAGTCTAACACCACATTGCTTGAGGCAACTACAGCAGTGCCCAAAGGACTCTGACTTTATTAATGATTCTTCATGTTCCCTCTTGGAGTTCTGTCAACCTTAAACATTTAGAAAAATTTCAGAGGTTTTTTGATAGGCTAACATTTTATAATTTACAGAGTAGAGCAAAATTTGAAGCTTTACAAATCCAAGAATTGGCTGAGGACATCCAGACATGGAAATTATGAAATACTCTAGTGAGAATATAAACTGATATGACCAATATGGAAACACAACTGGCAATATAGAGAGAAAAAATCTGTTCATGCTCTACAGATCAATAATTCCACTTTTTGGTATAAACTTTAGAAAAAGTCACATTTTGATAAGGAGATTATTATTTGTTATAGAGGAAGCAAGCCCATAAATATACTAAATGTTCAGTAGAGTATAGCTAAAGAAATAAACTTTGACCTAGATAATCATAGCAAAAGCGTAAAATTCCAAACTACAATCAGACATACAAATCTGTAACACTGGTAGCCTCTGATGAGAAAGAGAAGGAAATCAAAGGAACTTCAGCTTTTACTGTTAGACTTTATTTAAGAATCTGAAGCAACTACAACCAAATGTCCAAGACTGTTAATTCTACCTTGTTCCTGTTGATACATGGGCATTTTGTTGAATTTTCTAAAATTTTAAGATAGAAAAAAATGATATATTTTTATTATTCTTTTACCCACAACTTGGCTTATATCTAAGTCTATCAAATTTTTCCCTTGATTCAATTTTTGTTAATGGTCAATAATATTTATGCAAGAAAGTAAATATTTATTTACATGGGAAGTAAAAGGTATATCATTATACCCAGGCATTCCTGTAATCCCAGCACATTGGGAGGCTCAGGTAGGAGGAATGCAGGTTCAAGGTCTTGGGGGCCAATGTAGCCAAGCCATGTCTCAAAAATTTAAAGGGCTGGGGGTGGAGGGAGACTAGGGATATAGCTTAGTAACTGGGCACCATGGGTTTGAACCCCAATGACACATGAATAACTACCTAAATTATCTATCTATCTATCTATCCCTCCCTCTCAACTTCCCTCAGGTTCCACCCACTGTTTCAGCTTACTGAAGATCTATCAGGTATTCTTTCAGATCCTTTTGTATTTACACAAAGACATACACACACCTACAGGAACACATATTTATTCAGCTCTATGGTTTGATATCCTTGTTTTCAATACAAATGAGAGCATTTACTACATAAAGGTAAGTGTGCTTTTGTACTTACAATGACTGGGAGATTTTCTCACAAAACAATATTTTTGCTCAATATTCTATAGGATTTTGAATGTTTTAAATATGTATTTAATGCTCTTAAGAATCTATAGGATATACTGTATCACAATTTGAGTATTTATTATAGAATACTTAATTTATATATAATTTTGCCTATTTAAATAGCAGAGTAATAAAGAGATCGCTCTATAATAGATCCCAAAAGTTGAGATTTCAGTCTGAAGAATGCTTTGAAAATGTTGACAGCTATCTTTCAGTAAGAGTTCCCAGTTAATGATGTACATAGTAGTGTTCTAGATTTTTGCCAATCCATTCAAGGGTGGAGGCGATGAGCTCACTGCAAATAGAGAGACCAACAGGAAGGAAGCACAGATGGACAGGACAGAATGTCCCATGCAGTAGCATGAACAGTTGGCATTTCCAGAGCAGTGCATACAAGAGAAGAGAGTAGGGATCTAAGTCCAGAGGGAAGGTATGCACCATGTCTTGGTAGGTAACATTTAGTACCAAAGTTTAAATGCCACAGCAAACAGCTTATTCTTTGTGCAGGATAAGATCATAAGCCCTGGAGTATTTTAACAAGGAAAATGATCTTCTCCATCTGTCAGTAAGAGGACAGATTGAAATTGAGATAGAAGGTACACCAACTAGGAGCCTGTGGAACTGGCCTGCAGGGAAGTGCTAAGAGCTCAAGCAGAGCAATGATAGTAGGATAGAGATGTGCTAAGAGACACAGAGAAAGAGTCAAAAAGGGCATGGTGAGAAAAATAAGTAGGACAAAGACACTGACTAGATATTTGAGCTAACAACTAATGGTGAAGGGTGGTATAAATAAGATGAGTAATATAAAAGAGGAAGATTTGGAACAATATGGTGAATTCAGCTCTGGCCTTATTAATTTAAAGGTATGCATACAAAATTCAGATACATCACACGCATCCCAGAGTCAGTATCAGGTTGGAGATAAACACTAGTAATCATCAATATACAAAAGGTATTCAGAATGATGACAGCTGATAGGCACAGTTGCAGAGTAATAGAAGAGGAAAAACAGTACTCACTTGATTTTATTACATTTTAAACATCAGAAAACTATATGAGAAAACATTTCTGAAACCAAAGAAAGGGAGAAAAATCCTGCTAAGATTCCACTGTGATATTATAAGGTGTGTTCTAATAGGAGCACATGGTTATTCTAGAAGCCAGAATAAATCTCCGTATTCATAGGTAGAAAAACCTGTAAAAAGGAAATTATTAAGAGGACCATTCTAGCAAGAATACTTCATTTAATATGCATAGTCCACCAATAAATTGTATACACACTTCAGGAAAAGAAAATCTTGTATAAATATTTTAATATTTTTATCTCTGGAGACTTCAAAGGATGTTGTACATCGCAGAAAACCCACTACACTGCCAGCCCTTAGAGAAGAAATTGAAAATGCGTGTGCAGCAGTCTCAGTAGACACTTGGACCAAGGTTACCCAAACAACAGTTCACCGTATTAACAACTGTCTGGAAGCAAATGGCCATCAATTTGAGCACCTCTTATACTTCTAGGGGCCAAAGGTAACTTATATTAATTTCACGGTCTCTCAATAAATTTACTATTAAAACATTTATACAAGTTTTTCTTTTACTGAAATATGATTACTTTTTTTGGTGGATTCTCTAGTTTTCTGTTTAAAAGTAATATAAGAACATTATTAAATATCTGCCAGTTGAAAAAAAATAAAAATCACCTGAAATCAAATTCCTTGAAATACTCTGGACATTCTGTAAATTTTCTTCGAGTCTTTTGTTGTTTTCACTACTTTAAACATTTTTTTTTTGTACCAGGGATCGAACTCAGGACCTTGCTGTTGCCAGGTAGGCAAGGCACCACTTAGCTTCATCCCCGACCCACTTTAAAGTTATAATTTACCTCAGTATCACATAATATTTAATTTGACATTATACTCTTTTCCATACTACTGCAAAAGCACCATATCAAATGGTTAAAAATATTTTGTTAATTTGTTTCAAGTCAGTGGTCTTCAACTTTGCTGTGTATTAGAATTTTAGGCAAACTTTTTTAAAATGTAAATTTCAGGATTAATTCCACACCTATTGAATAAAAATCTCTGGGTGGCATCCAAGCTTTAACATTTCCTGAAATCTTTCTAAATAATTCTAACGTGTAGCCAAGTTTGAGAACCAATAGCATCACCAATAAACATTTAAATTATGTCCCTTACAACTGAAATAGTTGTTATACAATGCACATGCCATCTTTTTCTTATAGTCAAGAATACTTTCTTAAGAAAGCTTTGTAGAAAGGGCTTTATCAACACATGAGATACAGTTTATTTTAATGACCTTTTATGAACAATGACAACTGGAATTTTAATGAGTTCTTTTAGTTTATACCTCTGCAGTATTACAGAAGTGGGAAGTATCACTTGGAGTCTAGATAAAGCTCACGGATTAATTTGGTAAGTAAACTAAAAGAAATCACTACGCATTGCTTTAATCTGCATTCTTCTGGTTACTGGCAATACCACTTATGCACAACCTTGTTTGTTAGTTCTGTGCACAGGACCACCCTTGTTCTTGTCTGCACACCACAATGCTTCAAAGTCATTTTTTCCTCATAGTTCTAATGATTTCTTTATAGAATACTGCTAGCATTCTCACTAGAAGTATTTTCTTCATAGGTTGTCATTTAGTGTTTATTTTTGATAAGCAGGCATATCATGAGCTTCATATGTCCGTGTTTTCTTTCATGATTTATCTGATAGCATCAAAATGGAAAACTTATTTCCCTATCAAAGATGGAGTTAAATTTGATTTTTTTGATTTGATTTTTTTCTATTTTGCCCAATAGTATAAACTTATAATATTTAAATATTCTACCATATCTTCCTCATAAAACACAACTAGCACATTATATGTTCCATAAAAATTTATTATTTATAATGACTTTCTATGGGTCAGAAAGAAAAGGGGTGGCATTCCCTTGTCCATTTATTTCTGATTTATTATCTTACTCCTTCCCTGTAAAAATCTCTGATACCACTCATGAAATTCCTTGATCAGCAGAATGTCAAAAGAATTCAGCTCAGAATTTTTCTGGCTATAGGGAAATTTTTACCTTTAAATATTTGATAAAGGAAATTCCTAAAAATAACTATACCAACCACCACTGTTAAAGATGGCTTTTATACTACAAGATAAATGTCAATTTAATTTAGCTTTCCCCTCCCCTTCCCTCCTCTTTCTTTCCTCCTCTTCATTTGTTCATTATATCTTAAGTGTACTTTCTTTTTTTTATCTTAAGTGTACTTTCTGCAGTGATATATCCTACTTTATTAGAAATATTAATAGATAAAAGTATTTAATCAACACAGCTTTGTACAAAAAGTTACAGATTTCTGATATAAAATGCACTTTATGAAATTCAGTTATTTAGGGTAGTATGGAAATATATCTACAAATTTCAAATAAAATTATAAAGTAAAAACAATCTTTACTTTACAAAAGCCTAATTTCAAGGTTAGACCTCTTAAACAATACACTTTGGAAAAGAAGTATAAATATAAAGATCACTGAATTTAAACATCTTTCTCTTCTACAAACTTAGCATGCAACACTTAAAAATATTACATTTTAAGAATAGGCAGGAAGGGGGCCGGGATTTAGCTCAGTGGTTCTGCCACCTGCCTCTCAAGTGCAAAGTCCTGAGTTCGATCCCCAGTACCAAAAAAAAAAAAGTAAAAAAAAGAATAGGCAGGATGTCTAAAAGAAATATAATGCACCTGTTTTAATTTCTCCCTCAGGGAAATATGATTCATGAGAGACATAAGTTGGAATTTGTGAATGCAGAAATGTTTGTATTTGCTACAGGCCAATAGCAATACTCTTTCATATTGAGAAAAAAACAGAAAGGGGGGGGTGGATACAAGCAATACAAAGGTTTAAAGAGAGTAAATAATGTTTCAGGGTAACAGTTTTGAAACTACAAAATTACACAAACATGCATATTAATAAATTCCATTCCAAAAGTAATGCTATTATTAGGTAATATTTGTTATGTTTGTTTTATAGTATTAACATCTTATTTAGGGAAAGTGTACATTTTTATTATGGGGTTTTTTTGGTACCAGGGATCGAACTCGGGACCTTGCGTTTGCAAGGCAGGTGCTGGAACCACTGAACTAAATTCCCGGCCTGCCATTGTACATTTTGAGCGCTCATGAGAAATGTATGTTCAGACAAAAAAAAATACTTGTACATTATTTGACAGCAATATCAATGTTCTAACCAAGTACAATACAGAGAACAAGTCCAGAAATGAAAAGGGAGAGAAAATATGCAAATAAAATTGGATAGAAAAAAAGATAATTAATTGTTGGGTTAATAGTTCGAGAAAAATTATTTTAAACATGTAGTCCTATTTAATCAACTAACCAAATGGCAACTGATTAAACAACTGCTAAAATTATTTATTAAAAGGTTTAACAGTAGGAGAAATGTTTTTTGTCTTCTTTTATTTTTTCTAATCTTTCTAAAAACATAACTTGAGCTATTATGGCTTCTGGCCATTTGTCAAACATCTTATTTAAGTAAATACAACTCCAATCCACTCATTTAACTAGAATTAATATTCTGGAGGTTTTCTGTGGCCACTTACTTAAACCTTTCAGGAAACATCTCCTTGATGCACCTGCCACCCAATTCCATGAAATCAATATTTTATTTAAGCTAAGGCAGGAGATCTTAAGACGCTAAATTTAACTATGAATGCTATCTCATGAGCTGCTAAAATAGCACCAATATTGAACACCATTATAGTTAATGAGCTTTACCTCTTTTTGTGAGGGGATAGAGGTTATTTTCTAAGGTACCAGTAACATAATTAATAACAGCATATTATGCTAGGATAACTATTGCAGCTTTAATACATAGTACCTTCCTATTGCCAAATGTCACTTTATAAGCACAGAAACAACATTCTATCTATCTATGCCTGAGACAAATCTATTGTGATAGTGAGAGATAGTTACTAATCAATATAAAGGGGAAAACTACTGCTACAGATCTAACTCTCAATCAGAGATAAAATCATTTACTGAAATCCAGACAATTTACTCTTTAAGGGGAACACAAAAATTCACACCTTCTGTCACTTGCACCATGTTTATATGTGAAAGTACTGGTAGCACAGGTTCCACATAGAAAAATTCTGTAGACATTTAAAAAAATTTTATAAACAATAAACACCTTGTGTTTGCCTTCAAATGTTGTCTTTTCTAGAATAATTATGATTTGATTGGCTCTAGGCTATGATCTGTATGGAGGTTTTCTAGGATCTCATTTGGGGTATCACTGGTTCTTCATTTTCAGTGCAAATAGTCAACAAACGTCAGAACAAGATATAAAATCTGGATTCTAAACCTGTACATCTCTTAAATGGTAAACATTTGCTAACCCTAAAATTATTCCTTTTGTCACTTGCTTGTTAAACTAAGTTTTAAGGAAACTCTGGAAGTTTTCAAATTAAACATTAAGCTAGTACATTCCCGTGTCTCCCACTTCCTCCTTGGTTTGTTCATTCCTCCTAATAGGGCAGTTTTTCTTTCTTTTCCTCCCTTTTTTTTGTTGTTGTTTTCTCTGGGGACCTCCACTTCAAGACTGGCATTTTCCTGTGGCCCAGAGTGATAGATATACTGAGCTGTGGAATCAGCCTGCCTAGGCTCAAATGCCAGATCCTCCACTTATAACTGTGTACAGTTAGGCTCATACCCAACTTCTCTCAGTATCAATTTTCTTGTCTGTAAAAAGAAGAAACAGCACCCGTTTCTCACTATTACCAGGAGGATTAAATGAGTTAAAAAATAGAAAAGCTGTGCTCAGTGTCTAACACTGATCACTAACTGCATAAATCTTAGCTTCCTGCCCTTTTCCTGAAATGACATTCAACAGATAGGTCTAATGATATTTACAGACACATGCATCTGTGATTCTTCTTCTCATTTTTTTACCTGTATTTTACTCTTAGGCTTAATAAGCTTCCTCTATGTTCCACATTAGGCAAGCTTTTTATTACTCTACAGGAAAATGACTGAAATTGTATAAATAACCAAGAAGAGACACCAAATTTCTAAGGAACATGTCCCAAAATTGAAGAAACTCTAGCATATTCCTTATAAAAACTTAGAATGCTTGAGCAGTTTCAGGAAAAGAAGAGGCAGTATTTATCCTGGAAAATTCCTTAAAAGTACAACTCAATTTGATTCTCAGTAAAAGACACAGAATAATGAAGTGCTTTCAGTGAAGATAAAGCAAAACACTCACCAGGAAAAATCAGCCATCAGCCTCAAAAATATTTATTAATGCAGTCAGGCTGCTCTGCTTACAATAGCCCCAAGCAAAAGGGTGAATAAGTAGACTAAAACTTCAGCAAGAACACATGGAGAGGCAGTCACTGTTCACAGGGAAGAAGGCTCTGGAGATATAGCAGAAAGGAAAATAAAATATGTCCACCTAATATTGTAATAGAATTTTTATGATTAGATAATTTTATGCTTAAAACATGGCCATAGTTTACACAAACTGTAATTCAGAGAAATTAGAAAGCACACCAGAGCCTCCCATATTTTCACTTTCCAACAAGTCACGCTTTCTCAGTTTCCATGCTAGCCTACCCTATCACACTGACAAAACAGAAATAACGTATGTGAGCAACATCAATCTGGAAATCACTCTTATAACCTTCGACTCAGTCATTCAGATCACACTGCCTGGCCTTCGAGTGTCCAGTTGCCCTCTCATATCCACTAAACATGAACCAGGGAATGAGTGACCGACCATTATGGGGTTCCCTATGGGAAGGCCCTCAATGTCCATTTCACCCATATCACTAGCTGGTACCTACCCGGAAGGAATGAACGGAACCACTCCAACGCAATCCCAGCCACTCCTGCTAGTTCAAGCATTCGGTTCAGCATCACCTCATGACCAACACGAAAGCAGCTGAGGCTCTAATATAATCATCACGGAAAGTTGTCCCAAATCCTTCATTCGAGGAAGATCCTTCATACACACCAACGCTGTCTCCAAGCCATGCCGGGGTCTGAAACCAGACTGGAAAATATTATATATGTGTATATATGGTAAAACTCCCAAAAACCACTCTTCTACTTTATCATATTTATTTACAGCTGCTAAACCCATCCTCTACATATTGCCTTCTCAAGGTGAAAATACGAACATTCAAGGAAAGATCTTTTCCATAGTGGGATATAAACTTAAAGCATATGAAGGCCTGATGCTGCCTGGTAGGTAGTTGAGGCAGTCCCAAATGAAACATACTTTGTCCTGAAGGGGAGAGAGTAAACACAATGTTGCTTTCCAAGGCTAATCATCTAAACTTGGTGGACAAGATCAAACTATTCTGATAGTAATTTTCTTCAAAGCCCTAGCATTTTTTAGGAGGTAGGATAGCAATGGCAGATGAACTCTTGAAGGTCTGTTTCATATTACCACGTGTGCCTTGACTCCTCCTGAATCCCACTGCATGGACAGAGCTTCAAACTCCTAGCTGCCATCATCATCTTGACTACATTATCTGAATCTCTACTGATATCAGAGCTCTGAACTGACTGTCCTTGCTTATCTTGGAGACAGGGATAGAAATCATGAGGGACAACATCTCTGAATTGTAGGAAAAATATTAAATGATCAAAGGAGTCCCAAGAGCCATCAAAACCAAAAAAAATTTCAAAATACCTTTTAAAAAATCAACTGTCCCTCCTATTTTCTTACTTCATAGTGTTTTTAGAAACAGTGATAAATATTATCTACACTATTCATAGTTTAACTAGAGAACTTAACTATTTTTATATTCTTAGGTCCTTTAATATAGGAATGAAAATTCTTTCTTGTATTCTCCTCTTACCTTAAATAATGCATCACTGACAAGACAACTGTCAATTCCAACACAAAGTTTTACCAAGTCTCTATTTCCAGGATTTGTTTAAAATACAATTAAATGAGTTAAATAACTAGAGCCTTATTTACCCATAATTAATTTTGCATCAAGCAAACATCTATCTATAAAACTGCTCATCCTATATAATTCCATTTAAAGTTAATAGAATTCTGTCTTCTCATCTCCATCTCACTTGCTTTACTGACTAGATCCATTTCATCCTGGTCACTTACATTCAGTTGATATTAAATGTAAGAGCCTGGAAATGTACACCTGCTATATTGCCTCGCCTGCCCAGTTGGTATATTCTTTTGCTCCCAACTCAATTATTCTGTTGATGTCAAATATCCAGAAATCTTTCAGACAGATTTGGACCTCAGATTTATACCAAACCAACATTTACTGTATTTTTCTGGACAGCCTTCACTAACTCCACTGCATCTCATAAAAAGTGACATGTCTCTCACTAAGGATCATGCAAAGAATGAATGATTTACCTAGGCAAAAAAAAAACCCTCAAAAATTTTATTTTAAAATGGATAGGGATATAAAAATTAAAGGGATAATCTTTGCTTGCTTAATTCAAATGTACATACTTCTTGGCGCTTAGCAATATATAACGCTTTACGTCATAAAATTTTAAGTCCTCATGTTTGACATATTAGTCCTTGTTACATAACCTGAGATTCTGAACTAGAACAGTAATTGTATCAATTTTCTCAAACCATCCCTTATGCAGATATCAGTTAAAGATATCCATGAGTAATATGTTCATTCAAATAAACCTCTGTTGGGATGCCCGTTATGACCCAGGAACTGTGGCGATTATGCAAACATGAGTAAGGTACTGTGTATCACTTGCTATCTGGGAATTCATCGTTTAGCTGAGAGAAAGGCATGTAAACAAAACAACTATCATAACGATACAGTAAAAAAACTTTCTATGAAAAATAATAGAAGGAATGATATTTCTGCCTGGGCATTGTAGGGGAAGTCTTTCAAGGGAGGTGACGATCTATGTCTTAAATGACAAACAAGTATTAGGGTGGGGGTTATGGGAATTACAACAGTAGCTGAGACATTATTTTCTAGGCAATTTATAAGAATCTTGAAAATCAGTTCACTACTCAAAACTAAAATATATTCTATGTTCAGTTTAAGAGGAAGCAAAACTATTTCAGTATAATGGAAAATTCCTAACATGCTATGAATGTTCACTAAATACTAAATAGTGAGAATCTCGATGACAGTACAAAAATAATAACACAGATTTTCCAAATAATTATTTATTTCCTACATTTGTAAATGTAGGTCACCTCAGAGACAGCAAAGAGGTATGGTCGATGAAATATATTCTCCAAAATTTCACTTTATATATTTAAAGCTTATAATAAAATTTCAAAGAAGACTTAGATGAGAGTATGAATATATAGGATTTTAAAGCACACCTTATCCCCCCCAATATCAATTAGATAAGTATCAGGTGTGCTGTGTCAGTATACTACACATTAACACATATTTGTTTAGAGGGTGGGACAGCAAAGAAAATTCTATGTCAATATCATACATTCAGAAAGCTACAGTGGCTAACATGTGGGAGCTAGCTGGAGACATGCAGTCCCTGAATTACAAATAAGATCCAAAGAGAAAAAAAGGATCTCACTTACTGAAGAATAATTTACTTATTCTTTACTTGGTATACTGTACATTGGGAAATTCCTGCTTCTAGGATCCAACGTTAGTCACTGGCATATGTCAGACTAAAAACAACACAGGCTCTACTCCATCAAGTAACAGCAGTTCTGTATCTTATCATGGCATCTGAATGAAGAACATTACCAGAATCCCTTTTCTAACTTCTGATGAAATTTTAGATAAATAGTAGTAGATATTATATATGTTTCACTGAAATATGAAACATTTGGCACCCATGTACCAAAATATTACTATAAAATATCGTACAATACAAACTGGACTCCATTCCATCTTGATTAACTGTCTTCAAATTGCTAACAAAGCAGCCAACAGTGAAATCTCACAAACCAAGTATCTTAAAATTGGCAGCACATTTTCAAAGTTTTTCCAAATTATTTTATCTTTACAACTGCATTATAATGCAAATAAAGTTATAATTTTCCTTATTTCACTGGAAACACTCCCCTACCCTGGAGTGACTTAACCAGAATGATATGCTTTGTTACAAGCAGAAATACAGCTAGAATTCAAATTTCCATTCACTGTATAGGAAAATACCATGATCCTATTGCATAAAGGGCACCATAAGGAAGAGAAGGATCAATGAGACATGAATTCTGCCAGTAAGAGAATTGCACTCAACTTCCAGAACATGTCTTTCAAGGGATTACATGTATTCTTTCTTCCAGCTGTAGGCCCTCTAAGACCACTAGGAGGAGAGCAACCTCATAGTATCTATAGCAAACCAACAAGCTGCAAGGACCTGGTTGTCTGGATATCCTGGGATAGATTACAAAGCACAAAGCTATCTCAAAACTTCTCCAACTACCTCTTCAGCTACTAATGTGAGAAATGAACTTCTATGTGAAAAATAAGCCAAATATTCATTAGCTCTGTTACTGTAGATAACTCACTTTTCCAAACCTTAGTTTACTGGTCTGTAAAAGTAGAGTTTAAGACTACATACATGGTCTACTAAGACCAGAAACAAAACATAATTCCAAATTAAACTTCATTCACATCTTAGCTTGTATCCTAGTGTAGTAAGGGCTGCTTTGAACAATCTGTCTGTAAAAGAAACTTGTGTTTAGATCATTTATCAAAAGCATGGTTTAGAGTTGGAATAATAATTAGAACAATAATGATCTTTACTAGAAATCGGTCCAGTCTTTTTCTGTTTACCAAAGTACATAACTACCCAGCTCTTGAGAATTATTTAGGCCCCTATTTTCTTATCACAAAGCATACTTTTTAAATAAAGGCTAGAAACTGCTTGGGAAACTAGGTACTGTAGTTAAAAGTTGGGAAAGGGGAAGACTACATTTTAAATTTTAGATAATTATCTGTTCCAAGACAATCAAAATGCCTGCTTATTTTTCACAACTCCTTATTACTTTCTTTTGAGAAAAAAAGACTGCCGCTATACCTATTATAAACTAATTTATAAAACTCTGAAAATTAAAGTTGTAACTGGATTTTAGTAATATGATAGAAGAATGATATATGAAAATAATAAATAAATTTCTAATATTAAAGTTGAATCTTTAAAAAGGTGATTCTTAAAGAACTCTGCTCCTGATTCAGACCTTTCCTTGGTGTGAGAGTACAGAGAATTCTAAAGTCAGATTTGCAAACCTGACCATTTAACAATTTAAGATCTGAGGTGGCCATTCTTGCAACTATCCCATTAGCAATGACCAGTTTCAACACATAATCACAGAATGCCACTTTTCTATGTCTACTAGGTCAGTTTCAATGGGCACAAATTAGGCAACTGATTAAACAATAATAATTATACAAATTATTATATTTCATGAAGACATGCTAGAAAATATCTAAGTCATGCATTCAGGATATCCTGGCAATTTTGCATATGTCTATTACAAAGATTTTTTTTAAATGAAAGTGTATTTTTAAGTTTAAAAGTTGTATTTTTTTTTTTTTTTTGGTACGGGGGATCGAACTCAGATCCTCCGCTTGCAAGGCAGGCAGCGGAACCACTGAGCTAAATCCTCGGCCCCTAAAAGTTGTATTTTTAAACTTTTCAGCAGAAGTACACTAAACGGGTAACAGTAGCACTTAAATGGGGAAGGCGGTGGACAAATAGTCATGATATAGATGACAAATAACAGTGAATTACCTCTGATTATTCTCTGCTTAAGAAAAATTTTCTCAAGGATATACTGATGCTGCTTCTGAAACCACACTTACTTATTCATTTTGGTCTCCTTTTCTTTCCATACTTATATCTCTTCAAAGAAAAACAGCATTTGTAACTCAGCCTCCCAGTACTTAAACCTAAACGTGGTTTAAATAATACCATCTATTTTCATTCAGTTGTTTCCCAAAGTGTAGAGATTGCCAACCTCTAAAATTACCTTCTGGATTATCTACATTTTGTTACCAATTCTTCTTTGACTGGTAATAGCCAATTACCCAGAAGCAAGAATTTCAATCC